TATATGTTACCAGTATGACTGTGAACTGTTGAGGTGAATTTACTTTTTGGGGACAGTTATGAGTTGGTTTAGATCCTGCCCAAACATAAAAACAGTTTAAAATCCAACTCTTGTGCTGAATATCAAAATATATCTCAAATAAATGTTTTTGACCAACTATGTCACTGTTATCATTGTAGAAATATTGTTTCTCTATGAGTCAAATGGAAGCCCGTTTCAGTTTGAGTAAAAAATGTATTGTGAGACAGCTTAAAATAAGAAATAAAGTTAGGTAACTTTATGAGAAAGTCACAATTATGAGATTATGAGTAAACATTACAAGAAATATTTCCACTTGTGAGAATTATAAACTAAACTATAATAAGTCAAATTATGATATAATGACACATTCTGAGATATAAAGTCATGTTTTAAGACCCAAGTGTTAATTGTGAGATATGACATATAAATTTAAAGACTGAGATATAGAGGAAACAGGCTTCCATAGTGTCAGTGGCAGACTATAGCAAGGGTAGAGTGCTATTCTGTCTAATCTTCCAGGAAAAGTCTTTGCTAGACTAAAATTTCAAAATGCTGTAATCCTTCATAGGGCTTATTCTAAATAGTCTCCTAACGCTGTGATGCTTGTTTTAATAGGTTGTTTGCACATGACGTCACCGATGACGCGCGAAATGCAGCTGGAGGGCAGGAAGTGATTTTTCTCCGTAGGAATCACTAGCAGAAACTCAAAATGCCTGTGTTTTGCGTTGTTTGTAAGTTACAGGGTATGTGGCTGTTGGTCCTGTTAGCAGCACGTAAAACAAAACTTTTATTCAAATTCTGAATCGATTACAGCCTAGAAAGCGAGCAAATAGCGCTTTCATCTACCGTTAATCACTAAAAAGCTGTCACTCACTTCAATTTATCGCAATCTCACGATTCCGTGAACTGCAAACAATATCTTATTTACATCGTGTCTATGCACATTTTCGTACACGATAAAAGCTCCTTGTGGTTTCTCGGTTTGGCCAATTTGAGCATCCATAAACAACGCAAAGCACCGGCATTTTGAGTTTTGTTAGTGATACCTATGGAGAAAAATCACTTCCTGCCCTCCAGCTGCATTTTGCGCGTCATCAGAATCACGTGATTGCAAACCACCTATAGGAATCCAGCATTCACTGTCTAAGGTTCTCAAGCAGAAGAGCATTCCACAAGATCTAATGCTGTTGCAACCATTACACGATATCAAAAAGCATACTTTTGCTTGCCGTTAATTTGCACAACACTGTTAGTTGTTCTCGTTTCTACTAATGTACAAGATGTTCTATTAATCTATGGAGTCATACTGGAGAACATCATCAGGTTTTACACACACAGACAAAAAGAAATACAGAATCTTCCCTTTGAATATGCTTGTAAACTGCATTTCTGCTTACCGTTTTATTTTATTTGTTATAAGACAACAAATAATTTTGCTCCGCAAAAGCAAAATCTAATGCAAATGAACACCTTCTTTCCTTTATCTTTTCCTGCAATGCACAGCATTTTTGTGCCTTCAAAATCACCATCCGACCAGTGGGTTCAAGGGCCACACATCATGAAGGTTTCAGTGACTCAGGATCCAGTTTCTTTGATTTCACAGTGATTCACAGCGGAGCCTTGCTTCACTGTCTCACAAAACAATACACCCCCTCCCAAACACCTTTTTAAAAGTCCACAGGGAAAGAGGAGCCATTTCATGCCTGATCCTCTAATGAGGTATGAGGGAGCCGCGCTCCTTATCGAGGGTTTGCACGCAGCCCCCTGAGGTCTGTGGTGCTACTGAGGAGCCCTGAGAACTCTTACAAACAGCTAGTTCTCCAGTCTGGGGTTGAGGCAGATTAGTTGGAGGGAGTGAGGTGGGTGCAAGAGACTGTTCTCTCCTCTGCACACTAGCGGACAGGGATTAGCACCTGTTTGCGTGCCCTTGCCAAAGGGAGCTTCTTTTGTTTGAGAGCAAGGGAGATGACTGAAACTGCCTTTGATGTGTTTTCGCTTTTAATTGACTTGTCGGCAGTGTTTGCCTTTGCTCTTGTTCTCTCTCTGTTTTCATTTTATTTTGCTTGTACTATTTCTTCAGAGACAAGACACCAGAAGAATACTTCTATCAACTGGTTATTTCCATCTGTAATACTGTTGTGAATGTATATGTTAACATTGTTACAACAGATTTCTATTTCAAATAAATGCTGTTCTTTTGAACTTTCTATTAATCAAAGAATTCTGGAAAATGCATTAGGGTTTCCACAAAAACAAAGCAGCACAACTTTTTTTTGATAATAATAACAACACTGATAATTTTTTTTTACAAAACTATCAAAATCAGCATATTAGAATAATTTCTGAAGACCATGTGAAAATGAAGACTGGAGCCATGGCTGCTTCGCCATCTCAGAAATAAATTACTTTTTAAAAATATAAAATTTTGATTTAATTGCAATTTAATTATTTTTAACAATTTTTTAATTAAATTGTTTTTTATCTTACAGACCCCAAACCTTTGAATGGTATTGTATTTTAATACTAGGCCTATAAATCTCTCAGCGCAAATGGTGGGCTCACATTCAGAAAATGAAAGGTTCCAATTTTCAGCTGTCTTAGGTGGACAGAGCTAAATACAGGAGTAAACGGTGTCCAAAATGTTAACTCATACAGCATACTATAACTGTTCACAGCCAATGCTTTACAGCTATAAAATAAAACAACCACATGACTGAAAAATGTGGGCAATCTCATACATATGTGCCTGGCATCTACACAAATTTGATTTGAATAAAACCATCTAGTGAATAAATGACCATGTGAAGCACATACATCCTAAGTTAATTTATCACAGCTGCTTGCTGAAATACCAATGAGCTTTTAGTTTGCAACATCATGTTTGTCATGTGATTAAATAAAGCATTTATCCACATATAGTACAGTAACACACTGTTACAGTAAGCCATACGTAGTCACAGGATATTAATTTGAGATACAAATACTGATGCACTGTATTTCTTTACAATATTACCACATTCTCCATATATATATATATATATATATATATATAATATGATTATTATTACTTATTTTTAAGTACATTCTGAAAATCCGTATACATTTACAGTTATGATGACTCTACATATGTGTATAAATTGGGCCTCAGGTGTATGATCTGAGTTACTGAGTCTCACACAGAGACAGAGGTTGCCTCCACCAATTCACCCTAAGACAGACACTACATCAGTATATCACAGCAGGAGAGCACTGTACTACCAGCGGACAAAACACAGCACGCCTCCACCTACCATCTAACCCTTCATTAGTCCACTGTAATACTAGGTGACAGTGCTTACAAGAGCAACATGTTTAAACAACCACTCATTAAATGAGTGTGGGACTTCACTCTTCAGCTTTTACTGTTCTGAAAGGATTTCTACAGCCCTGTTTCCACCTGGTATTAAGATGCGTTTTCAGTGATCACAAGTGATCCGCTGAGACATATTATCATTTACACTTGGTCTTAACATGCGTTTCAAATGCATCTCCTGTGACCACTTGAGTTCAGACCATCCCCTCTTATTTTGTAAAACTACACATCACTTTCTAAGGGAGCGCAGAGTGTGGCCCACTGAATGAATGAAACCATTACGTTGCTTATGAGGGAGCGGGAAATGAAGCAAATGCAAAGGATTTTCATTGTATTCTGTGTGTTTTGGCACAACATAGTGAAGTCTGAATCAATTGTTTTCGTGCACTTTCTCAAAACACATCCCATAATGCTCACATTAAGTCAAGATGTTTGATTGATGCATCTTAAGGCCATTACACGGTAAACCAGCGGGTGGCCAACCTTGGGTCGTCTTTGAGCGCCTGCCAGCTTTTTGCGGTATGTTCTGCACTGTCCACACTAGTTGGATCCAGTTGGCTGTCAGTCCTAGATTCGTTTTCCCTTTTTGAATAATGAATATACACTGCTGCCACCTGCTGATACAGACGGTTGTTTCCTCAGAATGTACATGCTAGTTGGCCAATGGTTGTAGTCTTTGCGGTGTATTAAAGCGCAACTTTTTTCACACATACATAATAGCTAGTTCTTAGATGTCAGCTTGACGTTTCACGGCCTTTACTACCAGGTGTAAAGAGGGCCTACATAGTGTGTACGTGCCCAACCACCACTGTTTGTTTTCTCCGCAGTACCATGGTTGAAATGCTTTCGGCATTCTACATCAATAGCGATCCAGCGGCCTCAATCGTTTCGGGTCAGGGGAACAAGGTGGCACGCTGCGTAGTGTGGAATTCTTCCCTAAAACTGGTGACAAGAGAGACAAATTCGCACAGGCTCTGTTGCTTATCCCACCGACACACATCATTGTATGCCACTTTGCCACGAGTCCCAAGAAGGCAGATTTACAGCTGTAGAGGAGATGCTTCCCGCTCCAGCTACTGGGCCTGCATGGCTCAGCAGGGAAAGGGATACAATGTAATCAGTCGAACAAAACAGAGCACTGGCCTGAACCGTGGAGGCTCAACCGAAAAGCAGCAGGGGCCCACTCACCTACCACTAGCTCAAATCTCCTCTCTGATGGGCGCATCCAGAGAAATCTCCAAGGATAAAAGAGATGTTTGATTCCAGAGATAAAACCCAAGAAGGCAGAACTAAAGGAAGGCTCAGGGTTATGGAGGCCCATGGGGTAGATCCCCGGGGTACAGCTCCTCCATATTTGAGACAGCCAGAGAAGATTATGAGTATGTCAGAACTATTTACTCATCCTGTGTGGTTTAAAAGTAAGAGGGGGAAAAAAGAGACCCCGGAGGAGACACCCTGGCCATATGGATTGCGGCTCTTCGGTAGGATTATTGATCTTCACACACCAGCTAATTTGTCAGTCAGTGTTGGCCAAGTGCCTGTGAAACATAGTCTGTGCTCTTCCATTTGCTAAAGTTTGATGTGAAAGCATATCAGCATGAGTAAAGCTTTGAAATGATGAGTCTACCTGAGTGGACAAACTGGAGCCGTCAACTACAATTACTGTGTTAGCACAGCTAGCCCAGACCGAGTCCTCCAAGGCAAGTAGTGTCCTGATGGGATCTGAGCCAACTGTTACTTTCCTACAGGAGTCCTGGTTCCACAGTTCCCCTACAAGACAAAAAAACACAGTAAGTTCACAGTAAGAAGACTTTTATGTCTATCAAGATTCTTGGACTTCAACTATGGGCACGCTAAATGCCCCAAAATTCAAGATAAGACAGCAAAAAAATTTAATCTATTATGTCTTCTGTGATTAAAGTGAAATGTGAAAAAATTAAATGTGTCAACTACAGCATTACATTTACATGTGTACTTTGAGAACTGAGCATTATAACAATTATAACTAATAATTTATTTCCAGTTTGAATAACAGTTTGGTTTTTCATGCTACTAAAATAACCAATGTAAAGTTTGTTCTTCTAATTTGTAAAAAGCAATAAACTAATTCACAAACGGTTCTTAGATAGTTTTGCCTGTGTGGTTAGAGCTAGATTTATTAATGTATTATATTAGGAAAGGAAAGGAAAGGAAAGGAAAGGAAAGGACGTGTGGCCAAGTATGGTGTCCCATACTTGGAATTTGTGCTCTGCATTTAACCCATCCAAGTGCACACACACAGCAGTGAGTAGTGAACAAACACGCACAAACACACACCATGAACACACACCCGGAGCAGCGGGCAGCCAATGCTGCAGCACCCGGGGAGCAGTTGGGGGTTCGGTGCCTTGCTCAAGGGTCTCACCTCAGTCGTAGTATTGAGAGTGGAGAGAGCGCTGGATATTCACTCCCCCCACCTACAATTCCTGCAGGACCTGAGACTCGAACCCACGACCTTCGGGTTACAAGTCCGACTCTCTATCCATAATAATGTGACATCAAGAGCAATAACTGACAAAAGAGATTTTGTTATAAAATTGCAGCCCTTGTTTTTTTCAAATACATTTCATAAATCATATGCTGACACTGCTGTCCTTGTAAAAAAGTATAATGCAAACTGTTTTTTTTTAATTATTATTATTAATAATACTAATTCTCACACAATAAATATAAAAATGGTTTATGTTTGTTTTGATCGTAATGAGCTTTAAAAATGTAATACCCAGAAAATAGCCCAAAATATATCACTTTGCATATTCTGAGTTTTATGACAGAGAAAACAGAAAAACGAGGTAAAAGTACATGAGTAGCGAATACAATTAGGCTTGTGAAATACCTTGCTTGAAGGCAAATCACTAATCCTATCTGGTGGAACATTTCAAATATGGCCAAAGATATTCAAAGCTAGTAAATTCCTGTTATTTTCCTTATAAATGAATGCTTCAAATAGCGGACCTACAAAAATGCGCTGCATGCTAATTCCACTGCTTTGCCCTGAGCAAGTCACTTAAAGTAAATTGGTTTCATTAATACTCAAGAGTAAATCCTTGTGTTTGCAAGACAAATATGTATAACTGGTGGTGGAACTGTATAATTTCTGGCTACGTCTTAAAAACATACAGCTAGAGCAAGCACTGCAAAGGGTGTTTGTGGACTGCATATCTCCCTCAATAAAACTAGAGCTTTCTATGCTAATGCGCTAACAGTGCCATGTTAATAACTGCAGCGTGTTGTGTAATCCAATTTATATGTTTCTCTCCAGAGTGCGCAGAACACGCCAGACTTTTTCCTTGAGTTTTAATCACAGGGTTTGCACTGTAGCCACCATGGACACCATTATGGGATGCATTACATAAGCTTTTTTCTTCGTCTTTTCGCCCCCATCACAATGTTTTAATGAAGCAAAATTAGAGAGGGAACCACAGCGAGCCATTTAATTAACATTTCAAGTTGTTTATTTCTGCCTTTGAAACCAGAATAGCTTTACAATGACTTCCGACTTCCTCAGGTTAATTGCATGGCATATTCAAAATGTCAGTCTTCCCACTTTTTTTTCATACATATGCTTTGAAAACATCCCCTCAGCTGCTCTGTACCCCCTCATACTCAAACGAGGGCCGCCTCAGATTTGCCTCTTGCAAATCGAGGACCTTCGGGGCGGAGAGGACTTATCTGGACACTCAAAGCATCTGCAGATGCAGTCTTTACTTTATTGCTCCAAAAGTAATAAAGTGGAAGGAGGAGAGACGCAGTCTCATTCAGTTGGGCGCTTATTGCTTCTGGGTGTAATATATTTACATATTTTCTACGGAAATTCAGACACCTCATTATTATCCTTATAAATTCTGCAAACTGTTGATTAAACACAACAAAATGATCCTGCCCTCTTAATGTAGCTAGGAAAAAATGGGAAGAAAAACACAAAATCTCATCCCCAAGCAATTTCGGCTTGCTCATACGTTTCAAAAAGCTTTCTGATTAATCTCATGTGAGACCCCAGTGTTTATTACAATATTAACTGTTTTGTTTGAAAAAAAAAATAAATAAAAAAAAATAACAAGAAATACATTTTTAAAAATCCAGCCTGTATTTCCCAGGGAATATATCTGCTTGTAATTCATTTCTTTCCACTATATGAATAGTAATATTCAATCGCCACATTGCACATCAGCATAATTAATCTTATTTTCCACTTCGCTGGAGATAATTCCTTGTTGACAGCCAGGTAAGTAGTGCATTGTGATAAACCCATTGTGCCAGGGTTGTCTGCCTTGCACCACCCCCAACATACACGTACACACACAGCGCAGTCCCTCGCTATCTATCATGTCTCCGAATGCAAGAGTTCTGCATGCACGCCCATCTTCTGTTGTCATTAGCCCACACTTACGCACCGCAAATGAATAAGGCGCGAGCAGAGGACAGACTTGTGAAATCATAAATTGCTTTCGAGGTAATCCCGAATCTATTGGCTTTCCATCTAACTAAAACATACCCAGAACAATCTTATCACCCCTGTCTCATCTCTGAATGCATTCAGAATACATGACAGAACTAATATCTTTCACATACTCACTGAGGCATTCAGCTAACAGAGGAGGGACTGTAAAAAAAACATCCCTGAATGTTTGAATGGAAGGTTGATGAAAGAGCAAATTGAACACGGGGACAATCAGATTAATTTGCACTATTAATTTGATTTGATTACCCTTTCACTCTATTGAGTCCCTTTCATTTGGGGACATACTAATAATTACCCTTCTTAATTATCCCACCCATTTAGCGTTTAATCCCGTTAGTGAGAAAAAGGAAAGAGAAAACATACTGAATGTAACTGCCCATTTCTGTGCTAATGTGATAAAGAGAAAAAACAAGCCTAATAGGATAGAAATAACATAGACGTTTAAATCCGAAGTGATTACCCACAATCCAAAACAAACGCCAACAATGTATGTAGAATAAATAAGCTTTGTTTGGCATAATACATAAAAGCAAATGAGAAACAACTATATACAGCCTCGTGCAAATTATGAGGCCTTGAATTAAATACTGAAATAAAAGTTTTGTTTACATAAAAGACCAAGACTCTATGATATCTGAACTTGGACATTAGAAGGGCCGTGGAAATGGAAAACAACTTGCATGACAGCTGGAAACTAACTTAGAAGTATGAGCTTCTCAGGTGTACTTGAAGGCAGCATGAGCGTACAATATAATGAGACATCAAACATTATGTAACTCGTACCTCCGTGATGTCTCTCGTACACCATCAGCGTTCCATCCCGCAGGCCAGCGAACAGGAAGTTCCCGGAATGTTTGAGACACAGAACTGGACAGCCCTCGGGGTTACGGAGAGTCACAAGACATTGGGCGGCTGTGTCCATACTGCCATAGACCAGAATGCTTTGGGAGATAAACATTGAAGGATATATAAGGACATCTATGCAGGAAGAAGTATAATTTTAAAATGAAGAAAGGAAAGCTAATGCCTTATTTCCACTGTTCATTTGCCTTGATATTGTGAAATTATTTTTTAAAAAGGAGAACTTCTGTTCTCTGTAGCTAATCAGTCCCCTTCATTTGCATAAAGAATATCTCAGAATACATATTGTTCTTCTCAACATTCATAAATGATTTAACTTATTTAGAAAATCACAGTGATTTTAAGAGAGAAATTTGTTTAATTTCTGCCAAAATGACTGCACCTCAAAAACTTCTCCACATATCTACCCAAAAGTTTAACAAAGTGGTAAACTTTTCCTGTTTTAATACTACAAAGATGCATATATACCACAAAAAGGTGCATCTACACAGACGGCATAAATGCGACTACACATGTAAAATGTTAGGAAATTAATGAAGCCGAATAACTTTTATCCTTTTCATACTGAAATTGTTTTTCCATTAAATGACTTTGGAGTCGCTAAAACTTACGAGGATAGTCGTCACCTGTTTCTTATCCCTATGTGCACTGCAGTGTCTGTAATGGCACCTTAAATCTGATTAAAAGGCTTTTACCTTTCTCGTTTCCCCTATAGCTAGACATGTGCTCAAAACAAACAGCTATTAGGCTATTAGTCTTGGCTACCGCTTGGTTCTCACGGCCAAGTGAGCTGACAGGAAAATAAAGGAAGCATTGATGAGGCACTTCATTTACATAGAACCAAAGCAGCATCAATATCGTTGATACTGAAGGCTTGGGTGAATCTAGTTTCCTCAGAGCAACCTTAATTTGGCTCTGTAGGTGCCTTTAGATATTTAACAGGTACTCCAACATTTTTAATTTAGGAACACAATACATATTTTTTAAATAAAACGGTCTACACTGTAAAAAAAAAATCATGTTTAATTCAATGTGTTACTTGCTGTCTATACTAATTATGAAATCTACTAGCAATTTCACAGTGACAACTGATTTTTTTCAGTGTATATATTACCCTTTTTCCATTTTTTTCCCCTGTGTACATATTACCTGCCATCATCAAGTCCCACACAAATAGTATTTCCAACTCCCATGGAGCTGTGAGGGCTGGTTTTGTTGTCCTCTGAAGGGGTGGGCTCAGGCACATACTCCAAACACCTCACTCGAGCTCCCATCTGGAGGGATTTTACAGGCCGAGGTGTGGGTCTGTTCAAGGAGAAGATGTCCACCTGGCCTTGAGTGGAATCACCTCCACCGGCTACCTGCAAAAACAGAGCAAGGACACCGCTATTATAGGTAGTCATCCAACCAAAACCGCTCTCTCACATCCATGAGTGTACAGGTAGGGAAAGAAAATAATAGAGGAAGGGAAGGGCTTTCTGTTTTTATGCCACTTTCAACCACTCCCTCGGCTTTGTGCTTTCACTTCCAGTGCAGAGAACCATGCAGAGGAAATTTCAAAAGACAGAAAACTCTTTCACTTCCTGTGTACTTTAAGGTTTCCCAGCCCTGTTATTTTATTCCTGTCAATTTAAATTCCACAGTACCTGCAAAGTTAAAATCATACATCTCGTAAAAATCGAACCCATAGTCTTTCGCTTGATAAAGTCTCTAAAATTCATACTCTATCACCCCTAATGCATTCCCAGCATCAGCTTGATAACTTCAAACATCTTTTTTTGAAACTCCAGGGATCTTTTCATCGCTGAAGTAGAGGAAAAGGTGGGGTGGAGAGACGTCTTTTGAAAGCCGCTGAGCTGTTTGACAATGGAGGGCTTCCTTTGGGTTGATGATTGATCGCCTTCTTAAGACAGAGACTGAGATGACAAACTCGATCCTTGCTGAAATTACATGTAGTTGACAGAATAAGACTTCAGCACAGTGCTGCTCATAAATCCATCCTCTGGTACCTTCCCTCAACAATTGATCTAGGTTCTGCACCCATTCATTTTCCTAGCGAGTTGCTTTAAAATGCAGACTCTTGTAACACATTGGGATTGCATTGCATCATAAATTAATAATCCCCCAGTTCGTGAAAAATAGTGTTTGTCTTCGCACTCTGCTCTCTCTCATGGTTACTCGTTCATGCATAATGCAATGAAAGCAACCCACTCGCTATTAGAAATTAAACGAACTGATCAGCATCCCATCATGCCCACCACACAAATTGGCTCATCTCTCCTTGTGCGGCACTAAACTGCTCCAATTACAAAATCCATACAAAAAAAGAGGGAAATAAAGGGAAAGAGTATTACAGAGAGTCTGCTGGCCTCATTAGCGGCCCTTGTTTAGGGGCCATCATTTATGATTACCTCAGGACACTGAGCGACTGGGGCTGGCCGAGTGGAGCGTAATCTCAACCAAAGAACGGGAAAACAACAGCAAAATGGGAGGGATGCTGCCGGACAGCAGCGATTAATTCTCATTTAGAGCCATGTTATGTGAGCAAAATGGCAGGGCTAAATATAGTCTTTAGCCTTACAGTTCCCCTCTAATTTGCATGCAATCATTTGTCTGATTTGTATCGCAGCGTACAATCTGGATGGCCAAGGTCTCGTGGGCTGGGAAGAGCAAGGCAGAGCAAATAACGGCCTGTTGCAGCAGCGCAGTGGGAGATAGGGAGGGCTTATCTTCGGGCAAGAAGCTAGGAAAATAACTGAATCTCTCTGCGTTTTTCCTACTCAGCCGCAACCTCCAGCAGGCCCTTGTTCTCCCACTTTCTCAGACAGGCTCAAATCCATGTTCGCAAACTTGACGATGATCCACCCCTCTTTTTTCGATTCAATTCCTCCACAGACTAGGTGGAATTACAGTTCCCTGACAAACTCATAAGTACTTGTTTGGAGGAGTGGATATCTGGAATTGTGCCCTGGACGCATTTCTGTTTTTTTGGCCGGAAAGCCATGAAAACCAGCCTTAGAGTCAAAGCTCTGGACAACAGAGCATTAATTAGGCTGAAATTGACTAAGAGCCTAAAGGGAGCAAAGGTAGTCTGGGGAGAAAGACTTCATCTGTCTATTTGTACACATATTCAAACATTTGCCTTTGACATCCTTTACCCAATGTTTTAGATATGTTTGGATTTATAGTTAGAGAATAGAAAACTGTGAAAATGATGCTGTATGCACCATTCAAAATTGAGTTTTAAATTCCAATCCAATTCTTGATGTGTCGTGTAAATAGAACTAAAGGAAGTAACATTTAAATAGATGAAAATCTATATTCAGGCTAAAAGACAAAGACCTTAAACAGAAAACCTATCTTGTCTTTCCATTTTGTTTGAATTTCTTTTAAATTGCAAAAAACTTGCAGTTTCAATTCCTAAAATTTCAATTTCTTTTCAGTCCAATTCCAAATCCAATGAAACATCCTGTGGAAAATTTGAATAACATTTTAATAATAATAAAAAAAAAATAAAAAAAACACTTCTACTTAGTACTACTTCTGCTACTAGCAGCACTAAAAGGCATATATCCTTTCCAAACTGTTTTTTGAAATACTCCCTAAGGCCCCTGCAAACAACATTTTACCCAAAAACATGGCATTGGCAAACAATAAAAAAAGCAACTACTTATTTTTATTATCACTAACCAACTAAATAAATAAAATCCCAGGAAGAACACTGTGAACACACACACAAATCAATAAATAAGCCTCAGTCTTAGAAGTGAAGAGGCTAAGGAAGAGTGAATTTGGTGGATGACTGGCTAGCTTACTATCTTGGACTGATTAGAAACAATGTCATTATTTTGATCTGAGCCATGAGAAAAATCCCAGCAGCCCATCTTAGAGTGATCTGATTACTGTCACTGCTCATTTGGAACGCTAGCAGTGAAAACTGCCTGTTGTGATATGACAATGTGCTATCACTGACTTATAAGTTGGGAAGTAGCAAACGACTGAATCATTTCCCCTCTTCTCACATCTCTCAGTCCAGTCGAATTCACTGAGAAAATGACACCTGCTATAAGCGGAAGATGTGTTGATTGCTTTAACGGTTTCTTTTACCCTGCTATATAGGTTTGCACAGATAGACTTTTGGCTAGCAGTGTAAAGTCAGGTCCACATCGCAGCTTATTATAGTCATAATATGATAGCTTTAACAGCCTTCGACTTGGGTTCATCTGAAATAGCTGCAAACACAATAATAGACCTGTGTGGAGAAAAATGACTGTAAAACTATGGAAATATGAATTAGATCAACGATAATTTTTCCACAGTCCTTCAAAAACGAATAAATAATGATTATTTCACAGCCACAACTCAACCAAGCGAAGCAGTAACACTAGTTTACTTGCTAATAAATGCCTTAAATAAACATCCGAGTGTATTTTTCAGTTTTATATACTATTTCTTCCCCAAAACCATTACCATGCTTGTTTGACTGCATTTCATCTTATAGGATGCAGTAGACCAAGCCTACATGCATTTATATATCTGAAAAAGAGGCAGAAACGCAAAACACAGCTCCGAAGCACAGAAAATAAGTTTACGAATGCTACATAATAGCACATTTTAACACATCTAATGAGAAACACCGGCAGCACCACTGAGACTAAATGGATGCACTGAGATTTTTTTTAAAAGGGACCCCCTACGATTTAAGCTGCAGAGTGAGATTTAGATTTAGGATCAGATGTCGAGAAAATTATATTTTGGATATGCAATGCTAAGGATTTTTGGCACCAAAACGAGGTCCTAATCCGGCCAGATATAATTTCCTATTGAATGTCTCCTTGTATCTTTTAAATCCACCCAAGTCCACCCTCAGTGCTCTTTAGAATAACCCACAAAAACAATTAACTCAAAGACACAGGCAAGGGCGTCCTTTTGTGTCCAACCAAGGCTCGAATTGGATTTATCCCCCTGCTTTGGGGGATTATGTGATAAATTGCCCATTGCACCAGAGGAGGGAGGAGAACGAGACTACTGTGTGAAACTTTTAAAGGTGATTTCACAGGGCTTGTTATGAAAACCTGTTTTATTTTGCAGAGAAAAGGTCTTTGCAGAATACAGGTTACTTCCACCATAACTTAATGGTAAATTAATGCTTGCCAGTTTTAAACAATGTTCGGAATTAAGACCTGTTTTGCATAAATGGGATTTAATGGTGAGGAATAATAATTAAAGTCTCTTCGATCTCTGATGTCACCGTTTCACTGTGTGCGTATGATACTATGTATATTTTATGTGCTTCTGTTTCTACTTACCCAGAGGTAGCCTTGAGGAAGTGAAGTACTCGCCGCTGAGAAACCAAGTAAAGCACATTGAACAGGATTGTGAAGCGCAGCCTCCAGCTATGAAAAATAAAAGAAAAAATTTAAATCTTATAGACCTGAGAACATGTTAATTTGATGCAATTATGAAAAATAAAAAATTAACCAGAATCAGCATTTTTTAAAACAAATGAATTTGTTGCTATAGCTCAAACATGGTTCAAATAATGCCAAGGTCATAGGTTTCGACTCTCAGGGAAGTTGTTTAGCTTGAATGCATTGCAAGTTGCTTTGTATGTGTAAATAGTGAAAAATTAAATATACTAAAATGTATTTGAAATACATTTATTTTGTGCTAAGTATACTACAAATACATTGACATATTTATTCACTTAATAAAAATACCCCGCAATTGTACTTTTGGTATACTAAAGTCTGCTAAATTGGAACAACTAACTTTGCGCTTAATGCAATTTAATTGTGCAAAGGTAGTGCTTAAGTCCAACTAAAGATATACTGAAGTATATTTGATTATGCTAAAGTGGAACTATTGCAAGTATACTTCAGGTACACTTTAAATATCTTGCATTTAAAGACTGATATTATTCAAAGATCATACGATCTTCATCAATAGTGACATTAGAACACATTTTAGGCTTAATATTACAAAATGTGCATTGTGCACAAGTAGTACTCCAAACAAAGTTTAATTATAATTTTTTTATATCAGTAAGTCTTGAGCAATATGTCAGTAAACATGTTAGTAGATTTTAACTACAGTATACTTAGTATGAAATAAATATATTTTAAATATATTACTTTTTTACTAGGGCATAAATGCAATCTTTGAAAACATTACATTTTAAACTTATTTTAAGGATGTTTAGCAGATATATTTTAGCACACAGGAAAACCAGACAAAAATACTGATTAGGAAAATGATTCTCTGATTACAATGTAGCAATGTGGCTCACTTCAAGTGGTGGGTGGCATATTTACGGTGACCATAATGTTGCGTGATATCACGCCATATTAACAGACCACAAACAGCCGCTGTTTGGGAATGTTTATATTTAATGTGAGAAAGAAGGCTGGGAGAGATGGCAGAAAGCACATCTAATTTAATTAGGGAAAGAGAGGAGAGTTTGGTATCTATGAGAATTGAATATCTTTAATGTTGCCCCCAGTGGAAACTGGGCATCAACCGCTAGCTATTTCCAGCAGTCGTTTCCCATTTTCCCCACTTTTTCAAAGAGCAAACATAAACAGGTCCAAAATAATGTTGGCAAAATGACAATTTCAATCAGCCGAGAGCTCTGCTTCTCCCTTCTCCGAACCATTCCCTTCTTTTTTCATTAGCACGCAGAGTTTTATTTCCTCTTGCATATCTACCATGTATCCCATTTTTAAAGCATGCATCCATCTGCGGTGACAAAAATGTCTAATTTGTAATTAAATGCCAGTCATGGCAGGAGCACATATGGCAGCCTGCGGGCAGCAGAGATCGGCTAGTGGAGGGAAGGGACAGACTGAGGCTTTCTGAGTCACTTGAGAACACTGTTGCTCAGTGAGGAGCACAGGCAATCTTCACAGGTGGAGATTGCTTTGTCTTTGTCCATTCTCCAATGAATAGCAAGTGCATTTGCCTGAATATCTGCTTCAGCAGCAGTCCCTATGAGTCTAAGACACATGCTACATGATTCCCCAGCAACACATTTATTCTGGGTTCTCGAGCGGCACCTGGCATGACTCCTGTCCAACTGCAGAGGTAATATACTGCTTCTGAAAACTGACTTAATCCGGCCCATCCTGAATGCTTCTTTTTATGTATGGAATTTCAGACGTGCTTTCTGACCTGTGGCACCTCATAATAGCCTGTCAGAGTGAAGGGTTACTTTAATACCTATGGGTCTATGCTAATACAGTTATTATACAGTATGGGTGAAATCAAATGCATAAGATGCTAAGAGTGTATTTAACTTCTGGTCTTTACTTTAAAATACTTTATAATACAAAATTATTGGTGTAAGGTATCATCAACATCAACCCCAGTTTGCTCAGCACATTAAAGAGATTGACGAAGAACAAGGAAGAAATACATTTCATGTTTGTATTACTTTGCACTGTGCCAAAATGAATATGGAATTTTAAAGAAAAATTTGATTTTAGACAAAAATAAATTAAAATAAATTTGAAAATAAATAAAATAATTACAAAAATATATAAATTATATAATTAGTTACATAATTATATAAACATACAAAATTATATAAGTAAAATTTGTGTGTATAATTAATAAATATGTATAATCTGCTTACAATGGAAGTCAATGGTCTCCAAAATGGTTTGCTTACCAACAATGTTCAAAACATCTTTTGTTTTCCAAGTGGAACAACGTGAGGGTTGGTGAAAGATGACAGTTTTCATTTTTGGGTGAACTATTCCTTTAAGAGTTCAGGGTAGGCCATGTTAAATTTATCATAATAGTATCCATCACTCAAATTCAGTCTACGTTAGTGGTCAGTGGTTCACAGTCAGCAGCTCAGCTCAAAGTGACTAAATAACCTGAAAGGCCATTTAATTAGCATCAGGATGCCTTATTCCACTAAGCCTCTGGCTCACATGCAGGTGCAACACAGGAGATCCCAAAGGGAGAAGGAGAGCGTTCGTAGAGAGATTTGATGGAAGACTTGTGTTTGGGTGCTCGTCTGGGGAAAGGGCACTAGGTGAGCTAATTCAAGAGAGATTTGTTGATGAAGAAAGAGGGCGGCCACACAGCTGCTGGCCCCAGTGACCCACTGCTCTACATGGTATCCACCCCACCCTTCTGGGTGATGGGCTGTATGCCAGCTCCAGGTGGTGAGCGTCCTTTCCATAGGTCATGAACTCATCTGGAGGAAACCCATATTAGCTTCCCTTGCAGAGTCTATCCTGCCTGCAATATGTCCACATTTAATCCCGTAATCAAATGCACAATGAAAGTGTCACAGCATCTAGACAAACATGAGAATATTTTTAAAAGGTATCTTATATAAACGAGGGAGATACTGAAGTTTTCAATGTTTTCAACCAAAAAGCAACACTAAAGACTTGTTCACTGGCCTTATATGTGGAATAATCTCCAATCAACTCTATTATCAACAGGAGTCATCAGGCTTGAGGAGGTTTGGGGACAGAATCCTTAAAGCGATACAAATGATGTGGTATGCATTGAGGTGATTTTCTGTGACAGTAATCAAATCCCTACTCTACCTGCGCTTTGTTCAATGCATTTTATATGTGATGAATCTACACAAAAGAACATGTATCCTCCCTCCCAGAGTTATTACGTAGTTATGCAAGTTGTGGTCTACCTTTATGACTCATAAAGGGACCACATCTCAAATAAAAAGGAAAAATTTGTAGAGATATTTTTCTTCTAAGCTCATGTCTGAACACATTATAAAACATGTAGCTTTGAAATTGCAAAACATATTATGCATTGTGATGACAATAACTATACAAATATTATACAATTATAAAAATTCAAATTCAAAATTCAAAATCTTATGCTTAAGGCTTCGTTTATTTGATCAAAAATACAGTAAATATAGTACTTTTGAGAAATATTACTAGAATTTTACTAGAATTTTCTATTTAACCATTTTCTGTAAACAGTTGTATACATTTTTCAGGATTCTTTGATGAATAAAAATTTTAAAAGAACAGCATTTTAAAATTCAAAAGATTTTTGCAAAATTCTTCAGTCACTTTTTATCAATTTAATTTTAAGCTGCTACTAACCCTCACGTGTATATACATTTATAATGACATTTTTTTTATTATATAATCCAATGATTAAAAATAGCTGGAACCAAGCACAATGACTACTTAAACCAATAAGTTCACAAAAATATGAATATTCTAAAACAAAAACCTTTTACAGACATATCTTAATTCATATTAATGCATTCATTGCCTGTAATTAGGTTGCATGCACTGCATTGTACAGTATGTAACTAAACTGCATGCTCATACTGTTTTTGCTAATCCATAACTGTGGAATAACATGACACAGGCAAAATTGTGTGCAGATTAGGAAAATAAACTAAGACTAGTTTACAAAAGTAGGTTTTGCAAATCTAATATGGTTGAAATAAATGGAATCTGAGATAAACCAAATGTCTCTAAGATCCTACAAACACAAAGACCTACAGTATAGCAACACTAATAGGAGATTCACTGATTCATTTTTAATTAAATTCATTGAGTAGAAATCAACATTTTGAAATGTCCTTTTCAGCATTTCTACCATTGACAGTTTATTCAGTATGTTTAGGTTTTAAGCCATCAAAACGTACGACAAATTAGCAATGGTATCAATAACACAAAAACAGTACATAGTATCTGTATATCCATAACTCCACCACACATATTGCAACACTTAGCTGAGCTGGGGCTCTACAACTTTATCATTAAATAAACTGTGGTTAGCAATTAATCCACAAAGCTTGGCTAACACAGAGTGCAGCAAACCGAATGAAAAGCCTAGAGTCACTACAGCAAAGCGGCACTCCACTCCGATGAAAGAAATCTTCAATCCTCCTGACAACAGCATCACAAGCGGCTCCCACACGCTAACAAACACTAATAGAACTCTTCTGTTGGTTATTAACTGATAATTGGCAGACTTCAGAGTCCTCTTTACCACTTCTTCTTCACTCTTAGCCTCAAGGTAGAAGCAGGGAGAGCCAAGATAGCACAATAACAAAGTGCCAATGCTAACCTGATCGCAGCTTGAGAAGCAAACTGCATTTTTATTTGTTCAACACAGGCTAAATCAGTGCTAGTCTAGGGCTCATGCTGTATCATAGCATTTTCACTAATCCTTGTGGAGTGGAGAAGAGCTGCAGATACCGGGAACCCAGAGAAAAGCTGCATAATGCAAGGCTGACATGAGTACGCTTAGCATTCTGCTACATCGCAGGATTAGGAAGAGGGAAACGGGAGTGGATTAGCCTATAGGAATTCAATACACATGGGGAAAAGGACCAGTGACACGGTGGCAGGACTGATGCGCTAGATGATGCCTCAATGTGACT